GCCATCAAATCTGCTAAGCTGTACTTTGATTTGCCGCTTCTCGTTTCCCTTTTTTTTCGTTCCCACTCTCTGACACCAATTTGTTACGTCTTTCGTTAGTTAATTTTCGTAAAAATTCTTTTCGATGAAACTTTAGCGACACAAGTCCTTTCTTAAATAAAACTGGTTTATTCTTTCTGAATACAACTTTGCAATACACTTAATTTTCACGCTATAACAAACGCTATAATTCACAACAAACGCCTCACGTGCTCGACTCAACAATATCTCTCTCTCTCTCTGTCCACAGTTCAATTACACATTCATTACATTGTTGTCGTCACGTCTTGACCGTCTTATATATAAAAGAATACCGAATCTAGTAACCTCCCGAGTATTCACGAAGCTTCGAGAATATGACGTGTTACTAGCGTCACGTGACCTCCGCTGTCGTAACAGTTCTTTCCTAATTCCATACTTAAGTGGTAATTTTTTCCTATTAAAATAACAGTTTTTTTTGTGGTTTGGAATAATCAAATACCATAGATACGTGTATATGTAATATTTGAGCACCTGCTACTCCTCCTTTTTGACACTCAAGTAGCATTTAAAGGTGTGTGTGTGTTTTTATAGCAAAGTCACATTGAGCTATTTGCTGTGTCCACCGAGGAGAATCTAACCCCTTTTTTTAGCGTTGTAAATCCGTAGACTTACCGCTGTCCTACCGGTGGTGGACCAATAAATGTTTAAAACTTGCAAACAGCTAAAAGGGAAAAACAGATACAATAAAACGACGTTTAGCTACCATTAATTTGGCATCATCAGGTACATTACACACTGAATACAACATTAAATACACCCAATGGTTACGTCATGAACGCAATATTGGCCTTAGCATAATTATAAAAGTACTCCTTGCCTTTTATTTACTACTAGTTGAATTACCTGTTCCTTGCGCATTGTCCAAATTACTTGAAATAGGTATTTAAAATCACAATGCAATTACTTTTAAGAACAATTATTTAAAAAATTCAATTTTCATAACATTTTAATTTTTGTTTAAGTCTTTGATTTTCAAAATAATAATTACAAAATCTAAATTAAGGGTTCTTGAGATACCACATTGGCTATTATTTCTTCTTCTGACAATATAAACAGGTTTGATGAGATCCAACTCTTGAACATTCTACATGTAATTGACTATGTGAAAAACAAGGCTGCTTTAGGAACAATCCAGCAATCTTTGACATTGCAAAACAAATTGTATTAATACTAGAAACAAATGGCCTTATAACAACAAAATGTTGTTTTTAATTAATTAGACACTCAACGTTTTGCTTTACACCTTTTTCAGAAACGTTGACTAAAACACAAACCGAAAATGACAGTGCAAAGCTTCAAATGGTTTAAATGATAAATTCTATTTGAATCCACAACGTTCGTTGGTACAGCGTGTTTTAAAATATCAATAGTAATGCTTATTGTTGAAACGATTAACTGCTATCTGTAGTAAACAAAGTTCTATCAATGTTACAGAGTGAAATAACAAAAAAGATAGGATAAAAATAAAATAATTAAAATTATAGACGCCATAATTTGTCCCTATTCATCTGTGGTCGTAGTTTGACGATGAGAAGAGCTTCTTTGAATTTTTTGTCAGTTTACTTGGTGATTTTGGTGAGGATTTGTACGGAGAATGGTGGTTTCAAGTCCATGATTAGTTAAAAAATGATCTGCTACTGCGCTTTTTTCATGTTGTCGTTTATAAAGAACGTCAACACGTTCTACTATCCTTGTGTGTAAGGTTCTTCCGGTTTCTCCTATGTACATATGATGGCATATGTTACATGTAAAGTGGTAAACAACATTGGAGACAAGACACTAATCTTTAGATTGTAAACACATTTTTGTAAAACAATTGGCTTTATTACATCGTAAAGTATGGTAATAAGGTTTTGAAAGTTGACTTTTGAGGGTTGGACCTCACCGTTGTATAACCCTAATCGGCAGTTCAGATTTCCTGATTATAGTTTCGATTTTCTTGGAGATAACTTCGTCAATTAGAAGTGTTATAAAAAAAAACTTTTTTAACGTTATCTTTGGAAAATCAGTTTTTTCTTCCTTGTTTATCCGTAGTGCGCAAAAACGCCCATAAAAAACTGCAAACTGCAAGATTCAGAACTGAAAATTTGTATGTATCTCCCCATTGTCTCAATGAACCTATATAGCCAATTTGGAGAGGATCCATCTACAGGAGGCGAAGTAGTGGTAAAACACGCTAAAACGCCCATAAAAACGGCAAAATCGAAAAATACAAAACTGAAATCTTGTATGTATCTGCGCAAAGACCCAACAAACCTATACACCAAATTTGGTGAAGATCCATCTACAGGGGTGAAGTAGTGATACGAAACGGAAAACCTACCATAAAAATCGCAAAAAATAATACAAAAGGGAAAATTTGCATGTACCTGCACAACGACCAAAAATAAACCTACATACCAAATTTGCTGAGGATCCATTTACAAGAGCGAAGTAGTGGTAGGAAACGTATAAACGTCCACAAGGATGCCATGAATCTTCGTACCAAATTGGATGAAGATCCATCTACAGGAGGCTGTTATTTGAAGTTAAGCACAAAGCTACACAATGGGCTATCTGTGCTCTGCCCGGTTTCTAGCGGTGTAAGTCCACAGACATACCGTTGGGCCACAGGGGATCTGTACAGAAGGCTATAAAACTGCAAAACGCAAAATGGAAAACTTAAAATTTGTAAGTACCTCCCCATGGACACAATGAACCCCAATACCAAATTTGGTGAAGATCCATCTACAGGAGGCGAAGTAGTATCATAAAACACAAAAACGCCCATAAAATCCGCAAAATGTAAAAATTGAATATTTATATTTATCTCCCCATGGACCCAATAAATTTTCATGCAAAATTTGGTGATGATCCATTTTTAGAGGGCGAAGTAGTGGTACGAAACCCAAAAACGTCATTAAAACCCACAAAACGTAAAATGCAAAACGAAGTTTGAGATTTGTAAGGTCTAATTCGTTTGAAATAGTGAGGGAACGCCGTTCTCGTGCATTTCCACACCACTACACTACTGAATCCAACACATATTGCACGAAGCAAAGTCAGCATGCTAGTACTAAGGGGGTTTGGGGCATACGACTATAAGCAGTTGCGCTATAACTATATAACCATAATTTTTTACATCACAAAAATAGGGGTTCGGCCTAAACCCCCTGCGTACGTGCGTGCTTTTTTGTGATGAAAAAATATATTTTGCAGTAGGTCTTTTTAATTAAAAAAATCACTCTTTAACAATATAAATAATTAATTAAATCATACATGTGTTGCTAACAGCAAAGCACTTAAAATTATTTTTTTTATCGATTACTTGTTTCAGTTACATTTTATTCAAAAAAGCTCCTTTTTTTTCGCAATGTGGTAACGTAGTTTATTAGCTTTGGCAACTTGGGGTGTCTAACTTTTAAACCAGTTTTCTCTCGCATTCTAAATGGAGTTAATTGATAATGTGCATTTGTGTCTAAATTTTCCTGATTTTGCAGAAAAAATTTCTTTGGTCAGAGGAATATATAAGTACTACCATTATAACTGTGATGGTGTCGATGACAGGGTAGGCGACAAGTGATGTACTTAGTACTACTAGAACAAGAAGTAAACGAAGGCTTCAACTTTAACTTCTAAGCTCTACGATTTGAGGAAGGGTGCTAATTCGAAACATCATTTTCACGAAATATGTATATATATATATATATATAACATGGCGATTTTATAACTTATTACTTATGTACTTAAGTCTATAGCAAACGCAAGAATACTTGATTTTACAATTACAATTTTTTCGAGTTACTGTCACTTAATATTACAACTGAACTAGTGTGTTATAATAACTTATAATTTTAAATATCTAGCGTATTAATAGTAAGTACAACAATTAGGATTATGTTTCTGTTTTGTTTTTTAAGCTGCACTAACAATAAAAATAAGAAAACGTTGTGAAATAGGAAAGACTGAAATGGAATTAACGAGAATTCAACAACGTATTAATAAGTATGGATACTTAATTATGTTAATAATATAATAATAATTATTATATTTGTACTTTTAAGTTTAATAGTTGATAATTTAATCGTTCCACTCTTGTTTTTGTGGGAAAAGACTATTTAATTTCTTGCTATAATACAAAATTTGTAAACCGTTTTAGCTGAATATTTTATGTTATGAAATCACTATTTTAATTCCTTATTAACAGTTTTAAAAATAAAATGCTCTTTTTATGGAGTAAATTACTAGCCTCCTGGCAGTTATTTGGTAAAAATACACAAAAACATCATTTGTAGGTTGTAACTGTTTCAAGGAGTATTTTTATGGTATCATGTAGGAAAATCAGAGATGCCAAAGTTAATTGATTATCAAAAATAAGATTTGGTTCTTTATCAGTTGTTTATGTAATCTCATGCAAAAGTATGAATGCATTATGTTACTGTGCATGTATAGTGGAATTTAGTGGCATGACCCCCACTCTGTTAATTTATTATTATTATTATTTACTGAAGTTAAATGGTGAATTCTGTTCATTTTGAAGAATTAAAGCTCACAGTATGAAGACTAATGTTTGATGTGCTTGAATGAAAAAACAGAAATATACATTATATTACAAGCATGGCTTTAGTGCACTTTCAGAAATTTTGAAAATTTATAAATAGTCAATAAAAGAATACATTTCTTTGCTACAGCAACAATACTACAATTTATAACTGGTATATAAATGCTTGCATTTTCATTCAGTGTTAACCATAAAATATAAATGTTAAGAGAGAGAGATACTACCCTCCATATGATTTTTCAATGATCATAATGCATGATATAAATGAGGTTTAGACTTCTTGAACATAAAATGACTAAGATTTGCACTTTGGACAGTGAAGGCATGACAAGAGATCAGATTTTATGAGAGTCATGGTCAGTATGGAAGACTTGGGGTATGTCTGCAAAAGTTTTATGGGTTTAATGACTAATAGTAATTTTTAACTAAATTTTTTCTTGTAGGTATGAATTTTAATTCAATTTAAGAGTTAATTAGAAATAAAAGAAAAAATTATGTATTGTACTAATATTTATGAATTAGCTTCAGGTCATCTTGTTCTACATATATATGTATGTATTCAAATGAGCATTTGTAAGTCTTAAGTATTTTAAGCTAACATTAAATAGACATCTTTAGCTATTAAGTATTGGCACATTTACTAAAGTAAGTGATTTAGTTAGGTACCAGTATGCTTTAAGTAATTTATGAGTAATTTTAAGTAAATTAAGAGTTTAGTAACTTGTGTGATAAGGACAATATCTAAGATTTTTGCAAAATAATTGTCAAACTGAAATACTGTTTAATTGGAGTATATCTAAATAGGTTTCCTTTATAAGTTTAAACCTTTAAAGAATAAAGTGTGACAAAAACATTAAGTAGGTTTTTCCACACATACATATGATGAGGGTCGAGGGGACAAATCCTCTCAGAAGTTTATAGTAATTATTTATCATTTTACATGTAGACATTTTGTAAAACCTTTATAATGAAAATAAGTTTTCTTTTTATTAGTGAAATAAAAATAAACAAACATAAAAGATCTAATGCTGTGGTCAGCAAAATTTCAGACAAAGCAATTGCCCTTATTTGTTTCAGTGGAAGTTATGGCCCTGAAAGTAATGTGCAAAAATAATTAACATCATTTATCAAGTATAGCTCTGCACTGGAGAACTTAAAGTGAAAATAAAAACAGCAATGTTGGTTATTTTTGTCTTGAATACTATGATTATCTAGTTAAATAAAGGATTCAGTGAAGCTACTCAGTCAGTTTGAGTTTTTTATGAAATTATCTTTGAAGAAGACATTGTTCTTGATGGTTGTCTTTCCAGCAGAGTGATTATTACTACCATTCTTGACCACAACAAAGCCATCAACTTTAGGGCTTTCAACAAGAAGTTATTTACTATTGATTCTGAAGACCTGAACTGTCTTCAATCATCATTTGTGAACATATTTTTCTTGGTATTTGTCTCACTTGTCTCCTACTTTTGTAAAGTTTTCTTTTCTACATTTCTTTAGAGCTGCTGGAATTTTTCCTGCTGTGATAAGCCTGTAATTTTTGGAAAAAAACAAACATGAAAAAAGCTTTTTTGTTTTGGACATAATCTCTAAGTAATGATGCTGTTAAATTAGTGGATTTTGAAAGCCATTTGATAAATTGTGAAATTTTCCATGAATCTACTGACTTTGGTACCCATTTATTTATTTATTATCTTTACCTTGTACTAGCCCATTTTTCCACAGAGAACTTTCTGTTTAGCTTCCTCTTTCATTATCCATCGACACCAACTATCTTATGTAACTCTATTAGAACTGGACTGTTAACTAGATGAATTGATTACGTTGATTAGTGTCACAGAAAATAATGGATTAATCAAAATTAATTAAATCAATCAGTGTCATGAAAATGATCAACTAATCTTAATTAGTGATTCTATTTAAACTATACAAGTAATCAAAATATTGCTACTATGGTTTCTCATTATTATTTTTGATTAATTCAGAGTTGTTCAGCTTAATTGATTAGTATTATGAATCACAAAATTAGTGTCTCTAATTATTACTATTTTTGATTATTCCAACTATTGATGTCTTATAATAATAATGATAATAATAATCGAGTACTTGAATATAACTGATTAATAAATCCAACAATTATTTGATTAGCAAATTCCAGTAAGTGCATGACAGATCACTGAAATGTCTGATTCTTTGTATTTGCTGCAATGAGTTATCATATAAACAGTAGTGGAAATAATGATGGAAGCTTTAAGGGAAAGAAAGAGTATAAAAGGCATATTCTATGGGAATACTATTCCTTTATCATGTGAAAATGTAATGAAATAGCTTATGGTCACATGTTGATAGTTTACATTGTAATTGGTTGTCATAAAACCAAACCAATCAGAAAGTGTCATACCACTACAAAGCCAAGCAGATGTACTTTGCCTAACAGTAGTAGTAGTAGTATGAATCCAGTCATTGTTCCCAGGATTGAAATACAATATGTCAAACATAGAAATCAAAGTTTCAGCTGGTTAAGAATACTCCATGCAAAAATATTGCAGCAACAATGGAAAGCAATCAGGAACTATAGATGTTACAGGTTTCCTAAACTTGAGTTATAAGTTCTGTATATGATGCAGAAATGAAAGAATTGTTCTGTAATTTTAAAATTGCCAACTTACTGTTCAACTTATGCAGTGAATTAAATGTTGACTTAGAGACTAGTATAAGTGAACGTAAGTTATTTAATGGTTTCAAAAATATTTCAGATAACTTATTAAAAAAATAGCACATATTCATTTTGTATAGATTTGCTGATAAGTTTTATTATCTCAATTTTAAGTTTATCACTTTTAGGGCTGGGGTTGTGGGTACAGGACACTCCAGACTATATGTTCTTGGGTTCATCATGAACAAAATATTAATGCTTCATTTAAGGAATTTCCTGAGGTAAGGAGCAGAAATCTGTGTGGTACTAGTTTAGCTTTTAAGGATTCTTATGCAATATTATAGAAACAACACAATTGTTTTTGTGATCTGTTTAGTAGTGAGATGTTGCTATGTTTTAAAGTTGCTACCATATAATGGTTAATTTTATCAGAAATTAAGCTTTTGTTTTAAGTGACTTGTTAATTTACAAAAAAATATCTTTTGGATTGTTTATAAATTTAAATTTTTACTAAGATATGACACTTTAAATATAAACTTTATTAACTGAAAATAGTACTTGTTTTCTGGACGGTTATAGGAAACTGACTTTTGGTTGTATGGAAAAGAGAAAAATGCATTTTAAATTTTGAACTTAAACTTAAGTGTCTATACAAATTATTCATTTATAAAACATTTATTTTTTATGCACATGCAGAATAGTTTTAGCTAAGATATGTGGAGTGACAATCTTGTTCCATAAAATGTCTGACTAGGTCACTGAGACAATGGTAACATCCCAGTTCATCTACTCCCATTGGCAATAGACTAAACTGGAGTAGATGAAATGGGAGAAATGAAAAACATACAATTATCAGGTTGTAAAATATTGAATAAGATTTAAATACAAAAATCACTTGGGTACAATTTTAAAAACAAAGTATTTTTTTATTTATACTGTTTACAATATGATGCAATAGATTTAAAAAAATTCACACATCAATATTTTTATGTTCGTGTACATATACACTACAAATATATCACATAAAATAAACCTAGCTTGTTATCAAGAAATTATACCACTTTAAAGTTTTCTCACTTACAATAAAGTGGCATACCAAGTTTACTGAAAAAATCTAAAACGTTTATTTTGATATATGATTACATTATAGTGGACTAAACGAGAGTAAACGAAATAAGAATAAACCAAGACAATAGCCTTGACTATCTCAGTAATAACTTGTTGAGTAATTCTGGGAACTGTTTATTAACACATGAAGATAAGTTACACAAGAAAATTCATAAACACTGGATGAGTGGTATTCACATACTGAGTGGTAAATCCAATCAGTCACTGGTAGATTAAAGCCTACATGGTAATGCCTGCAGAACTGATAGTAATGAAAAACTACTAACTTGAAACCTCAAATATGAGTACTTATTTTACTTACTGATTAAGTAAACATTATTTGTTCTCATACGAATGAAAATTTTGATTTTTGAAAGTGCCTTTTAGTGATAGTTTTATTATTTTTTGTACTGATGAGAGAAAAACTGGACCAGTACCAACTATCCAAGAGATCCAGAAGGCCTTGAAGACAATGGGAGATAAACCAGATTCTTTTGTAGGGTCAAGAGAGTGGATTGGAAGTGTAGAAGTAGCCATGTGTATTGACTTCTTCTATAATGTAAGTCTACAAGATGCAGTTATTACACCATTTAGGTGAATAAATAAATAAAAGTTATTTACATATTTTTTAAAGAATGTAATGAAGAGACTCGTTTTAAAATTAATAAATGTTTTAGTGATGCTAAATAAAAATAGTCATGTTGGGGAATATCTGTATGTGCATGTGTATTAGCCTAATCATTGTTTAATACAAATTTTTTTTAGATTTATTACATCATCTGGTTGTTTCAAGACAATGCATACACTAGTTTATACACTGTATGTACCAAGAAAAATTATATGTATATGTTACACAGTTATAGTGACTGTGTATATTTAATAAATGTGTGTATTTCCTGTTGAATAATTAAGTTTTGCAAATAAACCAGTTAATGTGCACATTATCCAGCAGTAATTATGTATATTATCTGGAAAATGTGCAAAATTGTTTCATAAGCTCTTAAATTTTATGCATTCTTCAATGATATTTGTTATTATTGATAATAATCAAAGAATATGCAAATTCTCAATATATATGCACATTCCCCATAACATATACATACACCATACTTACAATTCATATAAACAAAATGGTGGCTATAATTTTAGATTAATAATTTATATCAGATATGCTAATATTGGAAAAAGTTGTAATTTTTATATAAAGATTTGATTAAATTGCAAAAACATTTATACTGTATGTGGATTTCTAGACCATACTTCATCTTTCTCGGTGTATTGCTTTCATCTTACTTGTACACTTACTACAACCATATGTTTAACACAAATGCAGATGATATGGTGCAAATTTCATTAATCAAATTTTTAGAGAGACGAGGTTCTTGTATATATTATTGAATTGTTTACCTTAGTTGAACATCATGAAAAAAGTATTTAGTCATTTATTGACTTATTTTGTGACCAACCTCTTCCGATTCCATTAGGACAATGTTAAGGTAAAAGTTTTATGGTAGTCATTTCTAGTCTGATTATTAACATGCATTATACAGATTCTGCTTTAATATTTTTCATTTGTATATCAAGAAAAAAAGATGAAGCACAGATAAAACTTTTTATATTTAAACTTACCTTGTACATTTGTAAATAAGAAGTATCCACAGAGCAGTGCAAGTCAAAGATATGCCAAAAATAAGACAAAGAAAGCAAAGATGTTCATATGCTGGTTGATATGAATTTTAAAATTTTCTTGTTCCTTAGCTAGTAGTTTTTCTTAGAAAGAAATATGTAAAAATTGTTGATGTTCCAATTTGCCATGGAAGACTTCAGTACACTTACTGCATGTTTATAGAATTATATTTATCAGTGTTGTTTGTAGTTATGATAGTTATAATACTGATATAGTGTTATCATTGTAGTTTAATTACTGTCAAGTGTCATACACTTTTCACATGTACAGTCTATTTCAAACAGTGTTTGATTGTAAACACTCTTATTAATAATTTTGATTTAATAGAATATTTTATGTTATTAACTATTTGTATACATGCTCAGTCAGTTTAATCTACCTTGTAACCATGAAACTATACATACTACAACTCTGATTGTATTAAATTTACCTTCTGCAAGATTTTAGTAAACATTATAAGTATTTTGTACAAAAAAATATTCAGATTTGTTAATAAAATATTTTTACTAAAGATCTGTATGTGAATTTATGAAGCATTCACTGAGCCAGTCTGAGTGAAAAGTGATTTTCATGTTAAGAATAAAAGTACTTATTTTCATCTTACAGTTTTCATATTTCATTTGCATAACTTCTAAAACCTGTTAAATGAATACCAAAAGTTTTCTTTGGTAAAACTCTAAATTTGTTTCATATTATATTTATCATAACACTAACTGTAGCAAAGTCATCAATGTACACTGAAAAAAGTTGCCTAATGTGAAGTAAAGTGAATAATACCTTTTGTTTTTCTAGGATGACTGGAGACTGTCAGAGACATTTATTTATATAGTTTTATTACTGTACTTTAGGACCCAACTATGTGTGAAAAGCATAGGTCACTGCAGTAGCCCATTTAGATGTTTCTTATAGCACTTACTTAAACAAAAGATCAAGTTACAGTCATGTACATACGTTAAGGTTGCCTCACCCATCAACTGAACTTGTGAAATTTTAAATTTTATTTAAGTTTTGTTACATAACCAAAGAAGTTACTAATTTTTACATTTTAGTTACTTTTGTTAAAATATATATATATATGTATAAAACTATGTTTAATACTCATACAAAATATCAAAGCAGTTTTTGCACTTAAGTATATATGTTCTTGCTAAGCCTCATTGAGTCTATCAAATTTGGGTTCCAGAAAAAGAATTAATTTAGCTTTCAGGTATGTATTTTAGAACATAAAAAGTATATTAGTCAGTAGAATAGAATTTTCCAAAACAACTGTAATTTATCTAGCCTTTGAAGTGAGCTATAAATAGGATAAAAAATTATATTAGCTGCTTATAAACAACAATGATTACAAACAAAGAATCTCAGGCCAACTGTATGTTTGTATGACGACTGGCTTCTTCTGGCTCATTCTGAACTGGAGTGGGCCAACCGGGCTGGTTAATCAAATTGGAGAAGTCCTTCCTTCGACCTACCCAATACCTCATCCACTTGGGTGTCCTTTTGGACACTCATCTCAATTGAGCCCAACCTTCTTCTCAATAACTTCATTACATGGAACTGTTAGTTCACCATGCCCTTTCAACTCACTCACCTTCTGCTCACGAAGTTCTATATCTTTTGGGGGCTCATCATGATCAATGGAACCTTGCTCAGCATCCCTTGTCAGCTCCCATTACTCTTCCTCCTACCCTGATGGCTGATCTGCATTGCTGGTTGGACAAGGCCCAAATATCGATGGGCATCCCACTTCCTCCTCTTTGTCTGGATTTACATCTTTTCACAGAAGCATCCCTTCAGGGCTGGGTTGCAAGGGTCAATCACCAGGAGGCTTCGGGTTGTTGGTCCGTAGATGAAAAGTCTTTGCATATCAATGCTTTCGAGCTTCTTGTGGTCTGTCGGGCTTTGAATCACTTCTTTCCTCTCGTTAAACATTGTCTGGTGATGATTCATTCTGAGAATTCTATGGTGGTAGCACACATCAATTACCAAGGGGCACTCGTCAAGATATCTGTGTTTTCAGATATTGGATCTACTCTATTGGGCCTACACACACCACATTTATCTCATAGCATGTCACGTTCCAGGTACTTTTCATCACACAGTGGATCTATCTTTTCCATCCCAACCAAATATATCCAACGGAGTGGTCTTTAGATCCCTTTGTTTTCCGGTGGCTTTGCAATCAGTGGGGTTTTCCCCACATAGATGCATTTGCCACATACATCAACTACAAGTTACCCCTCTTTTGGTCCCTGGTACCTCATCCTTGGGCTCTGGCTGTCAATGCCTTCAGCCAGGATTTGTCCCAAAAATTCCTTAATATTTATCCTCCTCTTTGATTCTTTCATCAGGTGCTCTCTCTCATCCATACCACTCCATGTTGAGTCTTTCTGATCGCTCCTTATTGGCCATCTCAATTGTGGATTCCATGATTACAACAGCTGCAACTTTTCCTTTCAGTACCTCTTCCTTTGTCTCCCTCCCTTCTTTGACAACTTCAGTCACTGGTTCTACATCCAGCCATGCACATTCTTCATCTTTGTGCCTGACTTTTATCTGGTCCATGGCAAGGAGATCAGGTTTCTCCCATCAAATAGCTTTCCTTTCATCTCGTTCCATACATCCTTCTTCAATGGAGGTGTATCAGTACAAGTGGAAAGTGTTCTGCAGTTGGTCTGCGACTCGGGAATTTCCCTTTGACTGACCTACTGTGGCTTGAGCTGCAGAGTTTCTCACATGGCTTTTCAGACAGGTGTCTTCAGTCTCCTTGCTCTCAGTTTATCAGGCTGCCTTATCCCATACCTTTTGTTTTTCCTGAGATCATCGAGGTTTTGCTTCCCCTATCCTTACTATGTTAGTGCATTCATTCCGGATTTGTCCTCCCCCCCCCCCCCAGATGCCATACTCTTCTAGACTGGGATATTAATGTGGTCCTTCATTCCCTCACTTTACCTCCATTTGAACCACTTTCCTCATGTTCCGTGTTTCACCTTTGCCTTAAAATGTATTTCCTTCTCCTCTTAGCCTGTGGACATCAAAGGTCTGATTTGTTTGCCATTGATGTTTCACATATGCATTACCACCCTACCTCGGTGGCTAGGGAAGGTAAATCCTTTTTTTCTCCTATTTCCCTTATTTCTACCTTCATCCCGATCCTGATAGACTTCTATGTCCGGTCCATACTCTTCCTTGATATATTACCTACATGGTTTCCTTCTATGGTACCTGTTCCCAACTCTCTATCCCCTGGCTTTCTTCCTCGTTCGACTTTTATTCAATTGGTTTATTCTTCCTTGTCTTCTTCCTCCTGGAATTTGTTCCAGGTGTCTTCTCATCAGATTTGATACCTCACAATTTCCCTCGAATCTCACATTCATTGGGTATTGGAGGAAATCCTACAGTCGGGCATGTGGTCTCCACCTAATACATTCGTCTCCCATTATTCACACCATATCACGGTTTTTTATTTGTTAGGTTTTCGTATTCCACCTGTGGCCATTCTTCAAACTTCAGTGCAACTTTAATTGGGTAAGTTTATATTCATACTTTTCTTTCCAGGGGTCCTTGCTTCATTTTCTCATTATATGGATCCCACTTTGTGGTGAGTGGTGCTCAACCATGTATTCTTTAACTTGAAATCTGCATTGTACAGCCATGTTGACTTGCGCTTTATTTTCCATGGCTTCACAATGCTCACTGTTGAGATGGAGTGTTTCACATGATCACTTGTATGTGAATAACTTTGCAATGTAATTGCTTCATAAACTTGCCCGTTCTGGACTGTACCACCCATGTTCTACATGCATCTTATTCTGAGGATGTTATTGCTTTTCATATGGTTCCAGTCAGTTTCTTTGTTGGGGGAGTTCATTTATATTATATAGACATCCTTTCAATACTGGATGTCGGGTCCCTGGATCGATAGATCAAAGCTACCACATGTCATGCTCAGGAGTCGAAGTGGCTCTAGGTTCCCTCTGGTCTCTTGAACTTGATATGAAGACGGTATGATCCTCATTCTACCCCTGCATGGATGTCGGTTCCCAGCGGCATGGGTTTTGGATGTAGCTGAATTACTAAGTCCATCACACCACAGCCACTCTACACATAGGGACACATCCATTGTTTTACCCACTTTTATACTTTGTGGGATTGAGTTACATA